AATTATTTCTACCAGGTTTTGTACAAAATACAAATATTCCCTGTGGCAAAACCTTCTATTGATATCTCTTCACCAGTTGATAATTATTGTAATTAGGTACCGTGAAGGCAAATTTCTCTTTATCTTGTTCTTGTAAAGGTATACTGAAGAAGCAATCCTTTAAATCAATAACTATAATAGGCCATTCTTTGGGTATCAAAGAAGGCAAGGGCATTCCAGGCTGTAGAGAGCCCATTGGCTGGATAACTTTATTAATGGCTCTCAGGTCTGTAAGCATTTTCCATTTACCAGATTTCTCTTTGATCACAAATACATGAGAATTCCAAGGGCTGGTTGATTCCTTGTTATGTCCAGCATTTAGCTGTTCCTGAACCAGGCTTTCTAAAGCTTCTAACTTCTCAGAGGTCATAGGCCATTGTCCTACACAGACAGGTTCCTCTGTTAGCCATTTTAACGGTAGGGCTTTTGGTTCCTCTGTTTGTTCAGCACTTGTATTCTGTTTTTGTACAGCCTGGATATTTGGTATCTGTCTTGTATAGTACTTTATAATATTTTTTCCACAATCATGAGGTCGTTTATGGTTCCTGTCTAATTCTGGAGGAATGTTAATCTGTGTATTCCATTGCTGTAATAGATCATGACCCCACAAATTTATCACTATATCAGCCACATATGTCTCAACCTTCCTCTCTGTCCTTCTGGTCCCATACAGTCAATCCATCTTGTGCTCTGTTTTACCTGAGACAGTGTTCCAAATCCCTAAGAATTGAACATTTACCTCATGCAGGGCCTATCTTCGAGGCCAAGATTTATTAGATATTATAGTTACATCTGCCCCTGTGTCAAGTAATCTGTTAAACAATGTATTATTCATCTTAACTATCAATCTAGGCCTTTGGCTATTTATAGAGGTTTGCCAAAATAAACGTTTATTTCCTTCTGTCATGTTTGATTCAACTTCTGTCACTAGTTTGTCATCCAGAGCGGTATGAGATTTTATAATAGGCACAGAATTTTCTAATTGTCCTGTGGGAGATTGTCTGCCACTGTGACTGGGAATGTTCGGACCATCTGTGACGTGGGGGCCTTCGAGAAGCGCCCCCAAGGAGTTTTCTGATGGTAGAGGGTTTCCTTGCTTTTCTCTGGTCGATCTACACTCATTTGCCCAGTGTCTACCTTTGCCACACCTTCTACATAGGAGGCTGAGGACTTCTGTTTGATTCATTCCTGGGAGTGTTATTTCTAGGGAAGCTTTGCCTACAATTTCTTTTTAGATGTCCTATCTTACCACAGTTATAACATCTGACATGTTGATATCTCTTCAAACCTTTGGAGATGGCTTCTCCTCCCCAAGCTTCTAAGTCACCATAGTAAAGAACTCTGTTATCTTGATGTCTGACCTTTAGATATGGCTTTTCCTACCCATGCTTCATTCTTATTGTCATTATACTCAATGTTGCCTGTATATAGGACCCATTCATCCAAGGGTGCTGATCGCATTTTTAAAGGCCAAAGCACCTGTTTGCATTGAGGATTCCCATTCTCATAAGCTAAAGATTCTGTGAGTATTCGCCTAGAATCTATGTCTGCTACCTCTAATTGTACTGCCCTAGATACACTTTCTAGAAAGACACTAAGGCGTTCTCTAGGTCCTTGCCTTATCTTGGTATAGGATTCTATCCTCTCCTAATTCATGAACCTTATCTCAAGCAATTAGAGCTGCTGTATGGCATAGAGACAAGATATGTTCATCATAGGCAGCTTGGGTTTCTGGGTCAGCATAGAGACCCTCACCAAGAATTTTATCTTGGGGAGCTTTATAACCTTTCTTTAAGCCCTGAAGTTCAAGAGCTTTTGCTTCCTCTCTCCATAAAGCCCTCCATTCTAATTGAGAGGAGTTTTCAAGGACAGCTGATATTAATTGATCCCAATCCTTAGGGGTTACCTTGTTGTTCCTTGCCCATGATTCTACTAATTGCTTCATATGTGGTGAGTGCATGCCATAAGAGACTACTGCTACCTTTATAACTTTTAAATCTTTCATATGTATTGTTTCCCACTGATATGCAATGACACCTTTTGGGTGTTTTTTCGTTGCTGGTTTTTCATTAATAGATACAGGGAAAGCTCCCTGACCCTAAATGGTGTGGAAAATTTTAAGTCTTTTTCATGTCCTGTTACCTGTAGTTCTTCTGATGTATCAGACTGAAGGTCTTCTAAAGCCTGAAATCTATTCCCCATTGTTTCTTTTAGTGTCTGAACTTCTTGAATCAAATAACTTTCTAGAGACTTCATTGCATCAGCCAGTTTCTTACTTTCTCCAACTACAAATGATTCCATGTTTTTAATATTCTCATACTTAGATATTATTTGAATGGCATGTAAACTGCCTTCCAGAAACAATGTTCTATCTGCTAGCTTGCCATTATCCTCAGACATGGAAGAGATTCTATCATCTACTCTTTCTATCTGATGTTCCAGTTTTTTAAACTCATTAGTAGCTTCCTCTAACCAGGAATTAGCTGTTTCTGCTAGCGTGTTAATGCATTGCATTGTTTCTGTTCTGGTTATTGAAGTATCAGACATGAAACAAATTTTGTTTTCTACTTGGTCATTTTTATGTTCCAAGGTTTGTACTCTACCTGTCAGCTCTCCAATGCCATCTTCAATACTCTGAACCTTTCTTTCTATACTTTCTATGATTTGAATTCTATCATTTTCAATGTTTCGAATCCTTGTTACTAAGTCTCCCATGGTTTGTACAAGTTCCTTATTGTTTGCTGTAATCTCAAACCATTTCTTTAAGAATATCATGTTAATGATGAAACCCATTGCTATTATAAAATAAAAGTACATATTGGTCCAGTCATAATTTTCTTCTGCTAAAATTCCTTCTATATATGAAGTAAAATAATTCCTAAAGTCCTGCATTGTAAAATTATCTGCCATAGTTATGGAACAATTGTTCTCCGATATTATACCAGCTTAAATTGCAAAGGATGTTACAATTACCTTAGGTGTAATTTTGCTGTCCTGGAACTTTGAAGCTTTTAGTTGTAGATCTCAGCTTGTGGTAGTTATGCCTGAAGGTGTACCACCAAATAGCATGCAGCCACAGAGGACCCCTCTGATCCCGGTTCTGCCCGGAAGTGTAAACAATTTGCTCATATTATATAAGATAATATAGAGAAATCTGAGAGTAATAAATATATACAAAATATAGCCAGCCCTCCATTGAGTTATGTGAGTATTGATTGGACCTGAAAATAAATATGAAACACAAAGATGATAGGCTTTAAAACAAGAGGAAAAATGAAAGCTCTCTGCTTTAGACTGCTATCTCACAGGAATCATTATCTGCCTCTTAAAGACACTGTATAAAAGAGGAACTATACAATACTAGTAAATTTTAGAAATTTGGGGTTTATTTCTAAGTGTTTTGTTTTCTATTTTCTTCTTCCTTCCTTTCTTCATTTCTTTCTTTCCTCTTCTCTTATATAATATATCCCGAACACAGGCTTCTCTAACCCCACATCTCCAAACTCCCTTCCCTGTCTCCCTCTCCTCCAGATCTGTCCCTCCATTTCCCTTCAGAAAAGATCTACCCTCCCAGAGATATCAACTAAATAGTACATAACAACATGCAGTAAAACTAAACACAAACCTTCATAACAAGGATGAATGAGGCAACTCAGTGGGAGGGAAGGGTCCCAGAAGCAGGTAAAAGGGTAAGAATCCCACTCCCACCTCTACCCCTCTCCCACTGTAAGGATCCTGCAAAAACCCCAAGCTAAACAACTACAGTATGTATGCAGAGGGACTAGGGCAGAACCATGTAGGCTCTGGGGTTCAGTCTCTGCAAGGCCCTATAAACCCTTCTTGGATGATTCTGTGGGACCTGTTCTAGTGTCCTTGACCCTATGACTGATAGCTGTTAGTTTCACTTGGTTTGTATTGGAGTATCTCATTGGCCAGTGAGTGATTTCAGAAATATGGTCTACAGGACCAGGTACCCCATCGGGTGACTAAGTTATACCTGATGCCAAATTGCCTATGTAATGCTTTTAGTTTATTATAAATTTTAGTTTTATAAGTAAAACTTATACACAAAAGATATTTTTAAAAGATCTCTACGGGTTCCTCAGCATGTTCTTTGAGCAAAACTGTATAATCAAATGTTCTGCACATTTTCCATGATCCAGATATTTGGGCTGAATTTTACTGACTATGAGCTATGCCATGTATTCTAAGGGTTGGGGAATGTTTGAGAAGGAGCAGAGATGGTGACAGGGAGATCAGAATCATGATGAATTGATCTAATAAGATTTGTGTTTGAGTGTCTGGAGGTGGAGGCAGTAGCATGGTGCCTACCTGGCAGGCACAAAGTCCTGGGACTGAACAGGATTTGTCTAAGTTCACTTAGCCATTGAGGTTACTGCAGCACAGAAACTGTGAGACTTAATTAGCATCATGGTAATAAAAATGGAGGCACACAGATTTGCTCTGAAGTCTTTTTTTTTTTTTTTTTCTACTTCTGATAGTTTTCTATTCAGTTGTTTCTGTACCTAAAAGAGAATGCTTGGACTGTTGTCACCTCTTTTGGTACTTAATGATGAAACAGGATACTATTCCTCTTCTTTGGGGTAGAGAAGACCTTAGAGTTGGCTACAATGAGACTCAGAACAGTGCTAAACAACAAAAGACAATTTCTAAAAAAAAAAAATTACAATACCTTTCAACTAAAATCCATGATTCTGTCAATATTTAGCATTGCAAAGCATTTAGGATATTCAGGTGTCTCTTTACAGACCATGGCTCAGCTCCTAGTCCAGATCCACAAATTGGAAGTGGTTGGGAGATCTGTGACAGGGAAGTGAAATTATGTAGCAGGGAGCAGCAAGCAGGTCACTAGGTTGTGACACATACACACTCCATCTAGGTGCTTCCTTAAAAGGTGTGCAATTTCAACACTTTCATTATCCTCAAACTTACCATCTTAAATGGTGAGCAGAAAAAAGTATTTAGTTCTGGTGTTAACTGCATTTTTATGGGTTGAATTACATGCCCAAAATAAAAACAAGAATATGAAATGCAGGTTACTGGGCAAATTTAATTTGACTGGGTATGTAGAAACCAAAAACCATTCAGTTGTTATTGGAGGATTATTTCCTATCCACTCTAGGACCATCCCTACAGACCATGATGGAGAACCCATATCAGCCATGTGTGAAGGGTAAGCCATTGTTTAATTTTTTTTCTTTCTTTCATTAATTTGGGTGGCTGGAGAAGAATGTAAGCATGGGGCCTCGACTCCAGTTGAAGTTCTAGGATTCTGGCTTTATCTTTGATTACAGAGTATGGGATGTTTTGTGGTTTCTCCTCATTAAATTGCTACTAGAGGGTTCTCTCTGGGTCAGGAGCAGGATCATCTAAACTCCTATTATACAAATAGGCTCAGGGGGTGCATGCCACAAATGCTGAATAGTTTATACTTTCAGAGGACCTCTGTTGGTTCACAAGAACACTGAGGTTTGAGAAGCACAGAAGCTACAGAGCTTGGAGGCAGGAACACAGTAACATTACCAATTACTGTCAATTGTTACAATCTGGAGTCCAAGTGCACAGTGTGGAAATTCTGACTTCTTTCTAGGGCAAGCTTCATGGGAAGATTCTGTTCCACAGAAAATCTTCTGTCCCTACTGCTGACTCCTCCAACATATCATATAAAGAAATAGAACCCCTGATGCCATTGTGAAAAAAGCAAAATTGGTATATGACTGATGTCAGGAAACATATGTATCTCTCATACACACAGAGAGAGATAGAGAGAGAGAGAAAGAGATAGAAGGGGAAAGCTTAGATGTGAAATATGCCAGAATTTTTTGTTTTGTTTTGTTTTCAATTATTTTTATTTTACATATCCATCCCAGGGCCCTCTCCCTTCCTCTTTCTCTCTCTCCCACCGTCCCATGCCCCTCAATGACCCTCCCCTCCCATCTTCCCCCCCAACTCTACATGTAGGGTGATATATGCCAGAATTTAAAAGAAAACCAAACAATCATCTACAATTCCATTGGAAATAATAGCAGCATTTTTTAAATTTTATTTTATTTATTTTTTTTATTTAATTTTATATAACAAAGTCCAATTAAATGAAAACAAACATTTATACACAATATTTGGGAATTTGGGCGTCGTTCTTTCGAAACTACTTCCTGCTGGTAAGGGGCGCTGTCTTGGGGGATTCGAAGAAGATTCAGATATCCTAGCTGTAGTCTGTAGGGCTGTTTTGTCCAGCTGTTTGGAATGTAGGATCAGCTTGTACTCTGTTTCAGGTGGTCTGGTGTGATCAAACCACATTAGTCTGTAAGGAATCCACATCTTTTCATTTTCTGTGGAAACAAAAATAGAAATACTTTTCCCCAGTAACTTGTTCTTCAACTTAAATTTTGGAGTCAAAGCGTTTTTTTTTTTTTTTTTTTTTTTTTAATTTATCATTTTACATGTCGATCCCAGTTCCCTCTCCCTTCCTCCCTCCCTCCCCTCCAGCCCTCCCTCCCTCCTTCCCTCCCTTTTGCCCTCTCTGCTCTCTCCCATGCACTCTAAACACCCTCCCCTCCCAACCCCCCACCACAATACCATATGTAGGGGAATGCCATCCAGTTGGGGTCATGTAGATCTGACAGGTCCTGTGAAGTAGGGACTAGGGCTTCTCTCCTATCTCTAGAATAAGGCAGTTATCCCTCCATGGGGGATATGTTTGCAAAGTCCTTTTGTGCACCAGGGATACATCCTGGCTCCACTGTCTGAGGTCTCTTAGACTGCTCAGACCTTCTGGCTGAGACCCATATTTAGGGGGGTCCGAGTCAGTCCCCTGTTGGCTTCCCAGCTATCAGTCTAGTGGCCCTTAGCTCCTCCTTGTTCAGGTAAGCTGTCTCTATGTACTTCTACCGCATGGTCTTGTCCTTTCCATCTTCTTCTGGGTTCTAGTTCGGCTCAGTGTTTATGTATGGGTGTTTGCTCCTGTTTTCAACAGGCATTAGTTGAGGACTCCATGGAGAAGTTAGTTGTTGATCTCACTCTCCGGGAAGGGCATTTATGATAGCCTTTCCACGGAAGCTGAGATTGTTAGTTGGGAGCAGTCTTGTAGTTCCCTCGACCTTTCTTTGTGTTCAACTTTATCTTCAAACCAATATTGGCTCCCTCTTTTATGTTCTCTCTCTCTGTCTCTGTCTCTCTCTCTCTCTCTTTCCTATATTCCATTCCTAACCAGGCTCAATCCTCCTGGTTGCACATGCCTTCCTCTCCTCCCTCTCATTTTCTCCTACTTCTCTCTCCATTAGCTGTCTTCCCCCACTTTACCTGAGGTCTGGGGGACTTGTCCCTTCCCAGTTCTGTGAGGGACTTTATATGAATCTCTTAGAATACAACTTGTATCCTAGTTCCTCTGGTGATGTGAATTATAGGCTGGTGATCATTTGATCTAGTTCTAAAATCCATATATGAGTGAGTACATACTGTGTTTCTCTTTTTGTGACTGGGTTACCTCATTCAGGATGGTTTCTTCAAGTGCCATCCACTTGCCTGCGAATTTCAAGATACCATTATTTTTTTCTGCAGAGTAGTATTCCATTGTGTAGATGTGCCACATCTTCATTAACCTGCTTCCAGGTTCTTGCTTTTACAAATAGTGCTGCTATGAACATAGTTGAACAGATGTCTTTGTTGCATTGATGTGAATCCTTTGGGTATATGCCTAAGAGGGGGATTGCCGGGTCCTGTGGTAAACTAATTCCCATTTTCCTATAGCTCTGTAGTAGAGCTTGAAGTCAGGAATGGTGATGCCTCCTGAAGTTCTTTTATTGTATAGGGTTGTTTTGGCTATCCTGGGTCTTTTGTTTTTCCATATAAAGTTGATTATTATCCTTTCAAGGTCGGTGAAGAATTGTGGTGGGATTTTAATGGGGATTGCATTGAATTTGTAGATTGCTTTTGGTAAGATTGCCATTTTTACTATGTTTATCCTACCTATCCAAGAGCATGGGAGGTCTTTCCATTTTCTGGTATCTTCTTTAATTTCTGTCTTTAGAGTCACAAAGTTCTTATTATATAGATCTTTTACTTGTTTGGTAAGCGTTACACCAAGATACTTTATGTTGCTTGTGGCTATTGTAAAGGGTGATGTTTCTCTGATTTCTTTCTCTGCCTCTTTGTTGTCTGAAAAAAATAGGGCTACTGATTTTTTTGAGTTTATCTTGTATCCTGCTAGTTTGCTGAAGGTGTTTATCAGCTGTAGGAGTTCCCTGGTAGAGTTTATTGGGTCACTTATGTAAACTATCATATCATCTGCAAATAGAGACAGTTTGACTTCTTCCTTTCCAATTTGGATGCCCTTGATCTTCTTTTGTTGTCTTATAGCATTAGCTAGAACTTCTAGTACGATATTGAAGAGATATGGAGAGAGAGGACAGCCTTGTCTTGTCCCTGATTTTAGAGGAATTGGCTTAAGTTTCTCTCCATTCAGTTTGATGTTGGCAGTTGGTTTGCTGTATATTGCTCTTATTATGTTTAGGTATGTTCCTGTTATCCCTGTCCTCTCTAATACCTTTATCATGAAAGGGTGTTGAATTTTATCGAAGGCTTTTTCCGCACCTAGGGAGATAATCATATGGTTTTTCTTTTTCAGTTTGTTTATATGGTGGATCACGTTGATAGATTTTCGTATGTTAAACCATCCCTGCAATCCAGGTATGAAGCCTACTTGATCATGGTGGATGATTTCTCTGATGTATTTTTGAATTCGGTTTGCCATTATTTTATTGAGTATTTTTGCATCGATGTTCATCAGGGATATTGGTCTGTAGTTTTCTTTCTTAGTTGTGTCTTTGTGAGGTTTGGGTACCAAAGTTATTGTGGCCTCATAAAAAGAGTTTGGCAATAAACCTTCTGTTTCTATCTTGTGGAACAGTTTGAGGTGTAGTGGTATTAGTTCTTCCTTGATTGTCTGGTAGAATTCTGCACTGAATCCATCTGGCCCTGGACTTTTTTTCGTTGGAAGGCTTTTGATGACTGCTTCTATTTCATTTCGGGTTATAGGTCTATTTAAGTTGTTTGTCTGTTCTTGATTTAATTTTGGTAAGTGATAGTTATCCAGAAACTAGTCCATTTCCTTTGAATTTTCTATTTTTGTGGAATACAGATTTTCGAAGTATGACCTGAAAATTGACTGGATTTCCTCTGTGTCTGTTGTTATGTTCCCCATTTCATTTCTGATTTTGTTAATTTGCATGTTCTGTCTCTGCTTTTTCGTTAATTTGGATAAAGGTTTATCTATTTTGTTGATTTTCTCAAAAAACCAAATCTTTGTTGCATTGATTTTTTGTATTGTTTTCCTGGTTTCTATTTTGTTGATTTCAGCCCTCAAGTTGATTATTTCCTGGCGTCTGCTCCTGCGGGGTGAATTCGCTTCTCTCTGTTCTAAGGTTTTCAGTTGGGCTGTTAATTCATTTATGTGACTATCCTCTGTTTTCTTCATATGGGCACTTAGTGCAATGAACTTCCCTCGTAGCACTGCTTTCAAGGTGTCCCATAAGTTCGGGTATGTTGTATCCTCATTCTCGTTGAATAGTAGAAAGTCTTTAATTTCTTTCTTTATTTCTTCTTTGACCCAGGAGTGGTGCAATTGCAGATTGTGAAGTTTCCATGAGTTTGCAGGTTTCTGCTATTTGTGTTGTTGTTGAATTCCAATTTTAAAGCATGGTGGTCCGATAAGATACAGGGGACTATTCCAATTCTCTTGTATCTGTTGAGGTTTGTTATGTCTCCTAGTATGTGGTCAATTTTAGAGAAGGTTCCATGTGGATGGAATGTTCTATATATATCTATTAGCCCCAGTTGAGACATAACTTCTGTTAATTCTTTTGTTTCTTTGTTGAGTTTCTGATTTGTGGTCCTGTCTAGTGTTGAGAGTGGTGTATTGAAGTCTCCCACTAGAAGTGTGTGAGGTTTTATATGAGCTTTGAGTTTTAGTAGTGTTTCTTTTACAAATGTGGGTGACTTTGTATTAGGGGCATAGATGTTCAGAATTGAGACTTTGTGTTGATGGATTTCTCCTGAGATGAATATGAAATGACCGTCTTCATCTCTTTTGACTAGTTTTGGTTTGAAGTCTAGCTTGTTAGATATTAGGATAGCTACGCCTGCTTGCTTCTTATTTCCATTTGATTGGAAAATCTTTTCCAAACCCTTTACCCTGAGGTAATGTCTATCTTTGGAGCTAAGATGTGTTTCTTGTATGCAGCAGAAGGATGGATTCTGTCTTCGTATCCATTCTGTTAGCCTGTGTCTTTTTATAGGTGAGTTAAGACCATTTATGTTGAGGGTGAGTAAGGACCATTGATTGTTGATGCTTGTTTGGTTTAGGTTTGTTGTTGGCAGTGGTATTGTGAATATATTTGTTCTGCTTCACCCTAGGTTTCTGGTGTAGTTGGATTATCTGTTGCCTACATTTTTGTGGGTGTAGTTACCTTCCTTGGGTTGGAATTTTCCTTCCAATACTTTCTGTAGGGCTGGATTTGTAGATACGTATTGGGAAAATCTGGTTTTGTCATTGAATATCTTGTTCTCTCCATCTATATTGACTGAGAGTTTTGCTGGATATAGTAGCCTAGGCTGGCATCCGTGTTCTCTTAATACTTTTAGAACATCTATCCAGGACCTTCTGGCCTTGAGAGTTTCCATGGAGAAGTCAGGTGTAATTTTGAAAGGTCTGCCTTTATATGTTACCTGTCCTTTTTCCTTCGCTGCTCTTAATATTCTTTCTTAATTCTGTATGCTAGGTGTTTTGATTATTATATGTCGAGGGGTCTTTTTTCTTTGGTCCAGCCTATTTGTGGTTCGGTATTCTTCTTGTACTTTCATGGTCATGTCCTTCTTCAGATTTGGAAAGTTTTCCTCGATGATTTTGTTGAATATGTTTTCAGCACCTTTGAGCTGGGCTTCCTCACCTTCCTCTATGCCTATTATTCTTAGGTTTGGCCTTTTCATGGTGTCCCACATTTCCTGGATGTTGTGTGTTAAGGATTTGTTGGATTTATGGTTTTCTTTGGTCGATGAATCTATTTCTTCTAGTTTATCTTCTGCGCCTGAGATTCTCTCTTCCATCTCTTGAATTCTATTGGTTATGCTTGTGTCCGTGGTTTCCGATTTTTTGCCCAGCTTTTCAATTTCCAGCTTTCCTTCCATTTGTGTTGCCTTTATTTTCTCAATTTCAGTTTTCAAATCTTGAACCGTTTCCTTCACCTGGTTAATTGTTTTTTCTTGGCTTTCTGTACTTTCCTTAAGGAATTTGTTCATTTCTTCCACTTTTTTGTTTGTTTTTTCCTCCATTTCTTTAAGGGATTTTCTCATATCTTCTTTGAGGGCCTCTATCATTTTTATGATGGTGATTTTTAAGTTGTACCCTTCTGCTTCCTCTGCTTTGTTGTTGTGTTCCATTCTAGTTGGTGTAGATTCCCTAGATTCTGGTGGTGTCATGTTTGTCTTTCTGTTGTTAGGTGTTCTCTTGTATTGCCTTCTTCCCATAGTTTCTTCCAGTAGGTGTTGGTGGGGTCTCTTCCCTCTCTCTATGGTCCTTCCCCAATGGGCTTATGTGGATCAAAGATTCAATGTCTGTAGCTCTGTGTGGTCCAAGCTCTCTAGGAGGTTTCTCTCTGGCCAATAGCCGGCAGAAGAGGACGAGGGTTGGGCTGGAACTTGAGAAGGTTTTGCAGGGTAGTGGGATCTCACTGGAAACTGGCGCTCTCCAGCTGAGACCTTGTTCTTTGGCAGGGGCCCGGATTTGGGGGTCAAGGATCTTGCCCGCAGGAACTCCAAGTGGACCCGCAGAGATCTTAGGTGTAATTCTGCTGTCCTGGAACTTTGACAGATTTAGTTGTTGAACTCAGCTTGTGGTGGTAATGCCTGTAGGTTCCCCACCAAATCGCATCTAGCAGCAGACAATCCTTCTGATCTTGCTCCCTGAAGAATAGCTCTTAACAAAAACATAGACAGATGAACTCCAGCAGGTTCTTGGTCCCAGGAAGCTGTTCCTGTGCTGCAGGCAAGAGACCATTTTTTAAATTTTAATGTCCCTTTCTGGATCTATTTTAAAAAAATAACCCTATGATTTTAAATAGTATGAAAGACACACAGGCACTATTTATATTGGACATATGTCTAACACAGCAGGTTTTCCATGATGCTGTGTGGTCATTATAGCTGTAGGGGGCATGTTTAAATATTTTTGTTTCTTTCCCAATTAAGTTGATACCAATCACAACTTCTTTCCTTTTATAGCATCCCATGCTTTATGTTTGAGTAATTTTATAAAGGAGTAATCTTCTGTAATGTTGTTGATAAAGTGAAAATTTGTGAGCCTGCAATTATCTCTTTCTTCATCCCAGTAATTCATTTCCATTCTCATAGGGAAGCAAAAGGGTCAAGCAGAATTGAAGGTTTGCTTAGTTATCATAGCAGCAGATCATCACTTAATCACAGCTTTCACTTTAGATTTTATCATAATGAACCACACTAATCTTTCATGAACTGAATTACTTAATTAGGTCTCCAATCTTTACTGGACCTCTTGAAGTTTATTTTCCACAAAAGCTGAGTTTCTTTTTTAAATTATGGACAGTATTCCCACACAGCAGATGAACCACCACTAGACATAGAAGTTTTTTAATATTATAAAAATTCAGTTTGTTGCAGATAGCTTTTTCCTTTTATCTGAAAATAAGAATTTCTTTGGCTAATTTAAAGGTACAGTTACAGGCTCAAAGCAAGTGGATATGTTTCTAGCTTGAAATGAAAAGCTAGTTTACTTTAAAAGATACCATTGTTGTGCTTATATTGAAGCTATTCTTGCCATCAGTGTGAACCTGTAAAATAAGGAACAGTATGGTAAAGATTTTTGTGTCTGGTCCCTTGTGTTTGGTACTTTTCTTTAACTATGTTACCTCCTCTACTTTGCATTCCCAAAATGCTGGTCTTTTCCATCCTTGGATGTTACACTATCTTTAGTGATTGTGTAACTTTTCACCAGCTGTCTGTCTGCAGCCCTGTCCTTATTCATGCTGTCTGTATGTCTGTCTGAAGCCCACTCCTCATGCTGTTTGGTTTCATCCCTCCGCCACCCAAGAGCATGGTATTGCTCTTAATTCATTCTGGCTGCATGAACTTTGTATTTTGTTGCTCATTGTCCTACTGTCAATGATGTTTTTTTAATTACTTTGCTCGGTTACTTTTCTCTTTCTTTACCTAAGTCAACATCTTCTGGGAAAACAAATTGAGAACAGTCTCTTCATTACAATATCTATAGTGTTTTACAGAGGAACACCACAGGTTTGTACTAAATGAAAAGCAAAACTAAGCCAGAACATGAATTAAATAGAGTGACCAAGGGAAATGGCTCATTTAGTAAAGGCCTGGCCTTGCAAAAATGAGGACCTGAGTTATAGAACACAAGACCTACACAAAAAATTTTGGTGTGGTGGCACTCCATAATCCCAGTGCTCAGTAGACAGACACAAGAAGATTACTCGGGCTTGCTGGCCAGCTGTACTGGCCATGTCAAGATGGAAGTACAGTGAGAGATCCTGTCTCAGGCAGAGAGTGACTGAGAAAGAAGGGTAACATTGACATCTCAGCTCAACAAGCATCAAAATATGCATATACAGAGTCAGGAAGGAAAATTCTGAATTGTCCATAGAGATAATTACTTTTAGGTATTGAATTTAAAATACTTACAAAGCTGGGGATATAAAGTTCATTACTACAGCTAGCTACAGAGGGTAGGTAGTAAGAGAACAGTTACTCATAAATGTTTTGCAGAATTTTGTTAAAGTATGGCCAGAGTCAGGTGAAAGGGAGTAGAAGAGGGTGTTTTGTGCTATTTCATGCTATTTGTGCTATTTCATGAAGGCCTTAAAAACAATACAAGAAAAATTAGTCATAGTATACAATAATTTACATACTGCTTTTTATAACTTCTGCCATGCATTAATGTATTAAAATTATTTATCTTTTTCATTATAATTAATGTTCAGAAGAAAATAAGTCACAGAGGAGAGAAGAGTCATGTCCCTAGGGCTCTGCAGTGAAATGAGACATCATGACCTAAAGGGATTATAGGGTGTTTTTAGTAATGAGAATTGTGGCTAGAAGAACTAGTCACAAGAAATAAAAGAACACGTTTTGAAAATAAATGAATATAAATTTGAAAATATTGAAACGTATAAGAGATGTATAAGGCAAGAAAATATAAAACAGTAATTTATATACTAAATATGACTAATACTTGGATCTTTTAAGATTATGATGTCATTTATGAAAATTTGACAGATGCAGACAACTATGGTACCTGCTGCTGAAGCAAAAGGCTGTAACCATTCATGAAACTGGAGCTCCTTCTCACCCCCACCCCCAAGCCCCACTCTCACACTCACCCCTACTTTCACCCCTACCCCCCACTCCCACCCCAGTGACCAATGCCTCACAAAAGTTTTTGCTTTCCAGGTTTAACTTCCGGGGATTCCGATGGATGAAAACCATGATCCACACCATCAAAGAGATTAACGAGAGGAAGGACATTTTGCCCAACCACACTCTGGGCTATCAGATCTTTGACACCTGCTATACTATCTCCAAAACAATGGAGACTGCTTTTACATTTCTTACAGGGCAGGAAGAATACCAGCCCAATTTTAGAAATGGCACTGGAAAGTATCTAGTAGGAATTATTGGAGCTGGGGGATCGTCATTGTCAGTTGCTGCTTCAAGAATTCTTGGGTTGTATTATGTGCCTCAGGTATCTTGGAATATTGTGCTGTCGTTAGAAAGAAATACAAATGCTGTGCTGGGTTGGATGGTACATGCATTTATTCCCACCACTCAACAGGCAGAGGCAGACATAATTCTGTGAGTTCAAGGCCAGCCAAGTACAGACCAGGTTCCAGGACAGCCAGGGCTATACAGAGAATCCCTGTGTAAAGGAAAGGAAGAAAGGAAGAGAGGAAGGGAGGGAGGAAGGGAAGAAGGGAGGAAGGGAGGGAAGTAAAGGGAAGGAAGAAGTAAATATTATGCAGAAATTATTGCAAATAGCAGTGAGGTCCAGAAAGCAGAGAGGCTAGACTGTAGAAAAAACAGAATGGGCTAGTTGGTTTGTTATTCTGTTCAGACAAGCTCCAGAAGTGCACACTATGGCCTTTTTAGAGGTGAGTGGAGATTGCTTAATTACCTGGAGCATTATCCTTGCACTGGCTAATATATGATGCAATGGTCTAGATATTACACTCACTAATCACTGTGCTCCATGCATGGTGTGGAGCATAGCAGAGCTCATCCATAAATACTTGGTGGTAGATTGATAGCTGGAAAAGTAACTGGTTTTTGTTTGGGTGTCTGTTGATGCTTGTTTGTCTTGAGCAAAGTCATCCCACTAACATGTTAAAATGGGTCTGGGAATTACACATTAGCTAACCTAATAAGGTATTTTAAACCCAGAGAGGGTGGCATATGTCAACACAAGCGTAAGTAATTGGAAAGCATGAAATATTATTAAATAAAATCATCTAGAATCATTTCAATAGCTATTTTATTCAAGTATCAGGATGTATTAATATGAATGATGAACAAACAACCTTATTGGTGCTACAAGTAATGGGAGTATCCCACACATACTATTTCACCTTTCTTCCCTCCTTCTGCCACTCCCTCCCTCCTCCCTTCTTTTGTTCCATCCTTTCTTTCCCTCCCTTCATCCCTCCCTCCTTTCCTTTCTTCCTCTCTTTCTGTCTTGTGATCCTGGAAACTAAATCCTGGAGTTATTCACAGTAGACAAATGCTACACTAAGAACTCACAACTCACAGCCCAAAATAATATTTACTTAGAGAGCTTCAAGTGTGAGTGTGAGAAGAACAGGAAGATAACTGAAAACAGAACATGAAGACAGGGGGGTGACATTGAATGCATCTTGATGGGGAACTTCATGTAACTCATCCAAACTGCAACTGCTTTTAGCACTGACTTCCACTAAACCCCTGTAAAATTCAAGCATAGCCTAGAGACCTCTAGATGTATTTATCCATGAAGTCTTTTAGCAAATCTGAAAAGGAAGAAATAAAACAAATCTTCTGTTTATTATTTTGATATTAAGAATCCTTAAATCTACATTATTGTTATGTGAATTTTCTGCTGGGGAAACATAGACTGGAGAGTCCAAGTAACAACATCTTATATGATACATAATTTAGCAAACTGTTGACATCTGATGTCATTTCCTACATAAAATCTCCCATGAATCTGTTGTAAGTGCAGTTAGAATGGAGAATACAAACATTACCCAGTGAAATAAGAAGAGTTAAAAGAAAATTGATGGGGGAAAACAGAACAGGAATAATGCAACATTTTTGCATGATCAGCTGACTGTGGTGGGGCTATGGAATTATAGAAGCTCACCCTGGAGGTGATGTGTTACTGACATGAGAGACTGCATAGGGAAAGAGTATCATGTTTTGAGGTGCAAATCATCAACATGCAGGGTAGACTACAGAGAAAATACATGATAGATTGTCAGGAACATGGGTGTCCTTGATCTCCATGCTTAGGTCCCCCTAAATGCTAAATACAAACAAGGACTATTGACCAAATGAGGAAAGCACACTTTTTCTTTACTTTTTCCATTTATTTATTTATTTATTTATTTATTTATTTATTTATTTATTGAGACTTGTACATAAAAAAGAGAGTTCTGATAACTCTATTGGCTTCTGGTTGGTTAGCAGCTTCTATCATCTCTCAGGGAAAGTTTTAAGACCTATGTACTCAGGAGACCTCCAGAAGGAAACTAACAGAGAGTAGAAAGAACAGAAGGGATGTAAAGAAGCAGATGTGAGAGCAGGAGATGACATGAGACAAAGACATGGATTCAGTCCATCATCTCTGCACATGAGATGCTAAAGCTGATGAAGAGTCCTGATATCCGGACCCGGAGAAGCCACCAATGTCTAGAAGGATAAAGGAAAGTGGAAGTGGCCTCCCTAACAATGCTGTGCCCCTCCAAAAAATTGTATTGGTGGTCTTCCTCTTAAAGGCCTGACACCTTTTAAGGTGATAGGGTAACCAAAGTTTTACCCAGAACGGTTCTCACCCACCAGGAAAAAGCACCCATAGAAAGTCCTTGTTTGTGGAAGGATGTGAGGGCCAAGAGAGAATTGATCAGATTTCTCCTCAGAATATTCTGAAACTGTCATTTAATATTCTGTGCTAGATTCCTAATAACTATAAATATTTTAAATTATAGGTGGGTTATACTTCTTCTTGCCCAATTCTTAGTGACAGCAACCAGTTTCCATCTTATCTTCGCACAATACCCAGTGATATGATCCAGTCTGAGGCCATGGTGAATCTCATCAAACACTTTGGTTGGGTCTGGGTGGGTGCTATTGCAGCTGATGATGATTATGGAAAATATGGAGTAAAAATATTTAAGGAAAAAATAAAACATACCAACATCTGTGTTGCTTTCTCTGAAACCATTCCCAAAATCTACTCCAATGAGAAAATGCAAAAGGCTGTCAATGCAGTGAAGAATTCCACTGCCAAAATCATTGTGCTTTATACCTCTGACATTGACCTCAGCCCCTTTGTGCTGGAAATGGTTCACCATAACATAACTGACCGGACCTGGATAGCCAGCGAAGCCTGGATTACCTCAGCTCTCATTGCAAAACCCAAGTACTTTCCACATTTTGGTGGAACTATTGGATTTGCAATACCAAGAACAGTTATACCAGGACTGAAAGAATTTCTTCATGATGTACACCCTAGCAAGGATCCAAATGATGTCTTGACCATTGAATTCTGGCAAACTGCTTTTAACTGTACCTGGCCCAATAGCAGTGTGCCTTACAATGTGGACCACAGAGTGAATATGACTGGCAAAGAAGACAGATTGTATGACATGTCTGGTCAGCTCTGCACTGGAGAGGAGAACCTGCAAGATTTGAAAAATACCTATCTGGATGTATCTCAACTCAGAACCACAAACAATGTCAAACAAGCTGTGTATGCTATGGCTTATGCCCTGGATCATCTCAGCAGATGTGATGAACAGGAATCAGATAAATCACATAATCAATGTCCACATATACCTAACTTTAAGCCCCAGGAGGTAAGTTGTTTTAGCCTATGATTTAACATGAAGAACAATCAAGGGTTTGCTGCCAAGTTGATACCATTAAATTGCTGATTTCCTTTTATACAATTTCAGAGCAGCAACACTTAGCATAATGGCTTGTCTGAATGGCTTGATTGTTCATTTTACAGTCTGAATGGCTTGATTGTTCATTTTACATCCTCAATTTTTACCAAATTATTAGGTTTGTTGTCAGTAATTAAAAACCCTTCCCACAAAACAAATTATAGTAATGCCTTTTACAAAATAGTTTCTTTTTCCTTGCATACACTACATTTAAAATTACCTAGCAGTAGAACACTATTTATTGGCTGTTTTCTTCATTTTTTTTCTTCTGTTCCCTGTATGGGACTTGTAATCTAAGATAACAATTGGGTTCCAAAACATCATGTTCTTGTTGGGCAAATACATGTGTGTTCCTCTAGTTTATGATGATTCCTGGACATATAAACAATTTTCCTTACACTGCAACTTTTGTTTTAGTCACTATTCTTACATATCTATTTTAAAGGGAAAAATAGAAGATGAACTCTTTGTACAATATAGGAGAAGCCACACAAAACAGGGAAGTTGGGGGTAAAGATCACATGGAGTTATCTGAGAAGTTCAAATCCACTTTGCCCATCCTTCATCTCCTATCAAACAACTCATGTTGGTTTCCAGTAGCTTGAGTGGTCTCATGGACGATTCCCTGCTTATTTCCATCCTGAACTTCTTTCTAGAAACATAGGGCTTGAGCCTCCCTACCCTGGCCCTATTATCCCTGTAGGAAGCCTCTTAACATCTCTAACTTGTCCCTTCTTCCTTGCCTGATCGTCATCACTTTACTCTTGTATTACATGCTATCAAATTAACAGATGTCACAGTGGCTGGGACCCTTGCATATCCCCTTGACTCGTTTTCAAATTGGTCAACTGCATTACATGCTAGCTCTTCTTAGTCCTCCAGCTGTGGTCATCCAATCTGTGACTATTATTTGTTTTTATTATCCTTGATACTTTGTTTTAAAGTGGTATTTCATTTTACTTTACTTAATGCACGTAAGTGGTTACCCATGTTCATTTAAGTGCACCACAAGCATAGCTACACCCACAGAGGTCAGAAAAGGGAGCTCAGATCCCCTGGGACTAGAGTTACAAATGATTGGGAAGCACCATGTGGGTGCTTGGAACCAAACCTGGAACCTCTAAAAAGCTACAAATGCTCTTAAATACCAATCCCTTATCCTTAACACTTTAGCATTGACCAGGTACTTTTAGAATGATTTTTCAATTTGGCTGTGTCTTAATTTTTATCATGATTAAGTTGAACATATATACATTGTTTGGAAAAAATAACAGAGATGATAATATGTCTGTTTGGGGATTCAATGTTTTGTCTGCATATACATATATATACTACATGCATCCCTACTATTGTCCACGAAAACCACATTGGATCACCTAGAACTGGAGGTATAGGTAATTATGAGCTGCCATGTCAACTCTAGGAATCAAATCTTGCTCATCCTTGAGATAAACAAGTTCTATAAATATCTGAGATATTTCTCCAGCTCTAATTGTGTCCTTTTGAAATATTTCATATCAGAGTTCAAATGATATAATTATCTTTCATTATTGCTGTTGAGTGATGTTAACACTTTTCTCTCAAGATAAATATAAGTTTCTCTCCTGTTTTAATAGTTATTTTGTGGGAATCAAGTGTGGTGACTCATGCATCTATTCTATCTGAGACAGTATTGCCATGGCTTCAGTTCTAGCTATAGGTGCACCAGAGATATCAAGAAAAGTCATCTTTCAAAAATCAAAACAACATAACAACAGTAATTATCTTGCCAGAGAGTATTTTTCAGTTGTAAAACTAATTTGCTTTTCATCTTATTTTCTCCCACCTTTTAAACCAACCACTTAAAATAATTCTTGCTCTAAACCCCTATACCTTTGCTGCTTGTAAACAATTTTTTTTGTCATTTTCCTTATTCTATCCACATGTTATCTGGACTTCTACTTTTCCTCTACAAATTCTGGATATCAAGATAGACTCAAGCAAATTTCCATTATGAGTGTTATTTATTTTTCTGCCAAGAGCTCACAGGTTTGACTATTGGAAATTACTTTGAATCAGATCTTGTTCTTTTTATTGAAATTCCTTCTATTATTTCTAAGAACTACCTATTTTTGAAACTTCTAAACAATACAGCTTCATTTGTACTTTTTCTGCCCTAGGTTTTTTTAAAAAATATATTTATTTAATTTTTTCTTTCATTTTACATACCAACCACAATTCCCCCTACTTACCCTCCAAGTGATTACCCTCATCTTCCTCCGTCCAATCCCCCATCCACTACTCAATAAGGTTAAGGTCTTCCAAAGGGATCCAACAAAGTCTGGCATTTAAAATTGAGGCAGTACAATGACCTTCCCCTGCTGTATCAAGGCTGAGCAAGGTATTTCTCCATTGGAATGACTTCCAAAAAGTCAGGTCAGGCACTAGGGCTAAATCCTGTTAGTGGCCCCACAGATTGTTCAAGACACAGAACAGTCACCCACATTGAGAGGGCCTAATCCAGTCCTATGCAGGCTTGCCAACTATCAGTCCAAAGTCAGTGAGATCCCACTAGGGTCAGTTGTCTGTGTGGGTTTACCCATCATGATCTTGACCCCTTTGCTAACATAACCCTCCTTCTCTCTTCAACTGGACTTACAGAACTTGGCCCTGTTTTAGCTGTGCTCTTTGCTTCTACCTCCATCAGTTACTGGATGAAGATTCTGTGAGGACAATTAGGGTGATCATCAATATGATTACTGGGGAAGTTCAGTTCAGGCACCCTCTCCCCTCTTGCTAGGAATCTTACCTGGGGTCATTCTTATTGATTTCTGGGAGTTTATCTAGCAGCAGATTTCTCTTACCCCATGATGGCTCCCTCTAACAAAATTTCTCTTTCCTTGCTCTCCTTCTCTGTCCCTTCACCAACACAAACATCCCATTCCCTTATTTTCTCCCTCCCCTTCCCTTCACCAAGCCCCCTCTGCACCGCCTCCCTGCTTCAAATTTATTCAGGAGATCTTATCTATTTTCCTTTTCCATAAGTATCCATGCATGTCTCTCTTAGAGTCCTTGTTACCTAGCTTCTCAGGAGTTATGGATTGTAGTCTAGTTATCTTTTCATTTAAGCTTAATAATCACTTATGAGTGATCGTTTCTGTGTCTGGATTATTTCACTCAGGCTTGTTTTTACTAGTTCCATCCATTTGCCTAATATTTCAAAATGTCATGTTTTTGTTTTTTGTTTATTTATTTATCTATTTATTTATTTTTGCTTCTGAGTAGTACTCTATTGTATAAGTAAACCACATTTTCTTTATCCATTCTTATGCTGAGAGACTCCTAGGTTGTCTCCAGGTTCTGGGTATTATGAATACTGCTGTTATGAACATAGTTGAGCTAATATCCTTATGGTATGATTAAGCATCCTTTTGGTACATTCCCAATACCAAGAGTGGTATTGCTGGGTCATGAGGTAGATTGCTTCCCAACTTTCTGAGAAACCACCATACTCATTTCCAAAGTAGCTTTACAAAGTAGCTTCACACTCCCACCAGTAGTGGAGGAGTGTTACTCTTACTCCACATCCTCTCCAGCATAAACTGTCATCAGTGTTTTTGATCTTAGCCATTCTGACAGGTGTGAGATGGTATCTTGGGAATGTTTTGATTTGTAGTTCTCTGGTGGCTACATGATGTTGAGCAATTACTTAAATGCCTTTCGGTCATTTCAGAGTCTTCTGTTAAAAATTCTCTGTTTAGATCTGTACCCCACTTTTTCATTGAATTATTTGGTATTTTAATGCCTAGTTCCTTGAGTTCTTTGTATATTTTGGAAATCAGCCCTCTGTTGAATGTGGAGTTGAAGACCTTTTCCCATTCTGTAGGCTGTCATTTTATCTTATTTACCATGTACTTTCCCTTACAGAAGTGTCTCAGTTGTAGGTGGTCCCATTTATTAATTGTCCATCTCAGTGTCTGTGCTACTAGTGTATATTTAGGAAGTAGTCTTCTGTGTCAATACATCCAAGGCTACTTTCCACTTTCTCTTCTATCAGGTTCAGTGTAATTGATCTTCGATCCACTTAACTTGTGCATGGCTATAATTATGTATCTATTTGCATCTATCTATATGTAGACATCCAGTAATGCCAGAACCAGTTGTTGAAGATACTTTCTTTTATCCATTTTATAATTTTAGCTTCTCTGTCAAAAATCAGATGTTCATAAGTGTGTGGATTAGTATCAGGGTCTTCAATTCAATCCCATTGATCCACATATCTGTTTTTATGTCAATGTCAATACCAAGATGTTTTCATTGCTGTAATTCTGTAGTAGAGCTTGAAATCAGGGATGGTGATGTCTCTGGAGGTTCCTTTATTGTGCAGGATCGTTGCTATCTTGTTTTTTTTTGTTTGTTTGTTTGTTTTTTGTTTTTTGTTTTTGCATATAAAGTTGAGTATTTTTCTTTAAAGGTCTGTGAAGAATTGTACTGGGATTTTGATGGGGATTGCATCGAATCTGTAGATTTCTTTTAGATTGCCATTTTCACTATGTTGATCCTACCTATCCAAAAGCATGGGAGATCTTTCCATTTTCTGGTGTATTCTTTAGTTCTTGTCATATAGTTGTTTCATTTGCTTAGGTTTCTATGGAATATTTTATGATATTTGTGTGTATTGTAATGCATGGTATTTCCATGATTTCTTTTTCCCCCTGCTTATTATTTGTGTATAGGAGACCTACTGATCTTTTTGTAGTTAATCTTTTATCCTGTCACTTTCCTGAAGGTTCTTTACAGCTATAGGAGTTCCCTGGTAGAATTTTGGGAGTCACTTATGTAAACTATCATATCATCAGCAAACAGGAAAAGTTTGTCCTTTTGATATCCTTTTGTTGTCTTATCACTGTAGCTAGAACTTTGAATACTAT